GCCTATGTATCATTATATAGGCAGGGTTAATCGATATTATTTTTAGGCAAATAATTTAGGTAATACCCAAGTAAAAAAGTCACTAAGTCTTATAATCTGAAGAAAAAAAGATAATGCTTTTCATTTGGGTTTATTTAAAAAAATTTATCATTTACCTATAAATTTTTGCCTTTTGATTAGTGAGTTTATTTTATTTAGACAGGGTTAAACGCAATCGGAAAAGAAATTTTTTTTTTCAAAATTGTTTTTGTTCTTGTTGAAAAATAATTTAGATGAAACTAAAGTAAAAAAAATCAACTTGGAAAATAACGGACACCCTAATGTCCACGAATGAAAAATTAAAAAATAAAAGCTTTGTCAATAGAAACGATTACTTTTAAGAAGTGACAAATAAATGAAAACTGATCAAAAATAATTTTATGTAGGGGCCTGCCCGAGGGCCTGCCTCGTCTTCTAACCTAAATCCGCTTGACTTATATATAAGTGGGGTTACTTTAAACAATTAGTTTATGCTGAGCATCTTAATACCATTAGATAATTAAAAGATACAACAAATTCAGGACAAAGTCAACTTTGCCCAATGTATTGTTTACTTTATCAACGTACTCGTATTTGATGGTGTTTTTGAACATTTGTTATAATTTATATTACAATAATTGTATTTACCATTAAAAAGTATCGAATAATATAGACTCTATGCATATTATACAGAAAAAACAATAACCAATGCAAAAAGCATTTTTAAAAAACTTGAAATGGCTCCCTAACGATCTGGAAAAAGTTTTTGTTTTATGCTTAGATTTAGATTTCACATGTCAATCCATTTTTGTCCTCTAGTTACCAAACGCCCTGTTTATAAGTTTTAAACTTAGTGCTAATGTAAAAAAATACATGAAAAAATATATTCCCAATTAGCAAATATAGTTCCCAGTCCTTTTTAAATGTCACTGCCCCTAAAGTATAGTTCCTAGACCCACCCTGCCACTTAAAATGTTACTCTATAAGGAATAGTCACTTTGAAGTATATTTCGAGAGTGACTGGTTAGTGCCTACCTACCATAAAAGTGGAAAATAAACACACCGATTGCAAGTGGCAAACATGTAATTTAAAGAAGTGGCTGGAACTACCTGAATCTTCGAATATGACACCATAAAAGACCAAAAACTTTATAGTAACTTTTTAAAGTAGCGGTCACCAACAAGTGCTACCATAATGCCTCCATTAAGTTTTTGTTACTTTATAGTAACAATTTAAGTTACGGGGTAGTCGCGGCCACGACACCTGGTTACCTCTAATTTATAGTAGCATTGAAAGTAACAAAATGGTTACTGCGACCTTCCTAGGTCACTATAAAGTAGCCGTCGCTTATCCTTTGCCACTAAAAAGTCGCGGGGATCAAAAATGGCTACTTAATAGTGACCATAACTTAATATACCCTAATAAATGTAATTGCCTCAGATTGCATATATGCATATATGTTACGCACTATAGTGTGCTGCTCTGTTTTGGTGTTTTCTTTTCTTGCTTTTAAGCTTTATTAAAATTCTGTAAAATGCTTAAGGTAAATAAAAAGAAATTTAGATATTCTAGTACTTTCTATCAAAGAATTAAACAAAAGGAATTACTGGGAGCCGAAGCATCAACATCAGAAACAAAAACTACATCTTTCTATAATCGTACTGATGAACATCATAAATCAGGTAGTGACATTTTTAAAGCTGTTTGATTCAAACAGTTTGAAGTACCTATTCACATTCAAAGTTGATGCATGTTCTGACTTCTATACCTGAGTCAAGTGTTCAAATCTCGTTCTGATCGAGATGCTGATGAATATTATTAATTCTATCTTACGTGAACGTTTTCACCTTAATAGTCTTTAAATATTTTGTAATGAATAGGAATTTAATATAAGAAATTCAAGGTGCTAAATATTTTTAATGGGTCAAGTTTATCAATACTTCCCTGAAGTATTTGCAGTCAAAGTTGATGTATGTTCTGATTTCTACACCTGAGTCAAGCGTTCAAATCTTGGGCTGATGAATGTTATTCATTCTGCCTTACTTGTAGGTATTTGGGCTATGTAAAAATGAATATTGTATGCTCTCTACTTAAGTCGTGGATTCGAAGATTAAGTGGAAGAGAACGTTTCAAGATTTAAGAGAGTAATTAATAAACCTAGAAAAAACGACACGAGACGGAAGTGACGTCATAAACGGTGTGGGTCCTGTTTTTTTATAATAATTAATTTTTTTGAAAATAAATGAATAATTTCATGTGATCATAAGAATTGCAATAACCAGTAAAACATTAGGTTTGATAATATTCAATTTGCATTTTACAAAAAATATGATTCTCGCGTCGCCAAACGGGAACTTCAAAGGACAAGCCGGAACGTTATAGTGGCACGCCGCGATCGGTGTAGCATAAACGCTGCAATTAAGTGGCAATTTAGTGGCGCAGGGAACTTTCTTGGAAAAAATCACTTTATGTTCCAAAGAATCGTGGACCATGTAGTTCCCAAAAAGTTATTGTTTCCATAAAGTCGTCTCTGGGTAGTTGCAATTGTCACTTTATCAATCCGAAGATTTTAAAGTTCCAAACGGGTAGGGTTGGCCTAATATATTATTGTTCCCGGTACTTTGTGGAAGCATATGGAACTATAAAGTATTTTTCGGATTAAACGGCCATATTTTTTTCATGACTTTTCAGACGAACAGCCAAATGGCTCAAACATTTTGCGTTTTTAAGCTAAATATACCTAAACTAAAGATTTTTTCCTTAGATATTTTGTTATTTGTGACGGTGGACTAATATTTTAAAGTTTCACGCCAGTTTTAAGCAAATTATTTTTTTTTTTAATTACTACATGAGTTTCTATTGCAAATAATTTAATAATTTGAAATGTTTTGAAAGGCGCTCGAAAATTTTGTCATATAAACCCACTATTTTATTCAGTAAAGTCGATTGCGTTTTGGAATTGACCCACAAAAGGCGTTAAAATCGCATGGTAAATAACAAAAAAATAATAATGGCTTCCATAATTACTTTCCATCATGACATTTATTTTTATGAAGTGTGAAACTGAAGAGGTCGCTGCGAATAAAGTTTAACAGTTTAATGAAAGTTCTACATGTCGGTGGCAAAACACTAGGCTGCCACGAACCCGCGACTAGGCAGCTTCGTAACAGATAAGTCTCAACGGTAGGCTACTTTATAGTGCCATATCGTAGTAACTCTTTTAGTGGCAAAAACTACCCAAGACACTACCCGGCTACTCAAAATCTTTCCCCATTTTGGTCGCAGTTACTTAGCAGCTACGAATATACAACGTAGCCGCCGATGGTCACCGCCCCCTTTGTAGTGGCTTTGATAGTTACGTATCTGCCACCATTAATGCTAGTTGGCACCCATAATAATAAAAGGATATCATTCATAAGTACTCGAGTCCTATAGGATATAGGAGTATACTCAAGTGTTCCAATAATGATCAATTAAGCAAAGAAGAACGGCTAACGCTTTTTAAAAAATGCTCGAGTTAGTTTTGTCGGCGCACACTGAGGCCAAGTGCATGTTTTGCCGTCCATAACTTATTTTTATGTAAATATTTTAGTCCTTGTAATCTTTTTAATGAAACCTTCTTAATAACGCAAAAAATTTCGGATTTTTTAGTTACCTACACAGAATAACTGATATTTTGCTACCTATGTTAAAAATTTAATAAGTAGGTACCTAAATAAAAAAATTAAATTTTTACTTATGTAGGTTAATCAAATTTAATTTTAAATGAAAACTAAAGAGCTTATATTTTGCAAAAAATAATGAAAAATCTAACCATATGGTTGCCTATATTTATTATTATGGTGAAAGGGTTTGAGATTACTAATATTTTTTTCCCAAAAGAATACTTTATTTTATCATATTATGAAAAAAAAGTATAAGAAATATAGCATGTAATTAATTTTTACACCCTAGAACAGGAAAATTGGAAAAACTTATTGTGGCCTCTTTGCACTTGAACGGATTTTTTTTATTATATATAACTATAACTAACGCCAATATTTGAAAAGATTATATGAACGTTTGTGCTGACCTTTTGATTTCGTTGTAGTAGTGCAGTTAACTAGATTTAACTGATAAAGCGTTAAAATTTTTGCGTGCAGTTCCCAATGGGAACTTCCCATAAAAAATTCTGTTCTCTTTTACTGTGAAAAATCTGCTTCTATATCGATTGTTAGGGATTGTAAGGGATAAATTTTGATTTACATAGAAAAATTAGAGATTTTAACTCCGGTAGATTCTCAAGTTAGAAATTCTAACGGGAATTATACTAAATACAACTGTTACTTTTCGTACCTTTAACATTTTCCGTGTAAGAATTTTTAACACTTTGTGATAATATTTTGTAATTATAGTAATAAAAAAAAATCAAAAGATAATCAAAGGATAAGATATTTTCTTAACATAATCATATTTTATAGTTATTTTTATATTTTAGTATCAATAATTTTAATTAAAATAATAAAGGGTCAATGTTAATGTTAAAAATGTTAATGTTAAAAATTACGTCAAAAATGTTTATTGGGATGGCTACTTTATTTTCGCATAGATTTTGCTGTATAAATACAAATGTAATTAAGCACTCGCTCTCAAGTTCGCTCGTGCCTAAATAAAATTCGTGACTAAAATGGCGTTTATCAAACTTGATACATAATATATTTTATGTTTTCCAACATTTTTCTATTTCAGAACGAAATTTTTGTATTGATATTCGTAACATATTAAAAATATTTGCTGTCACTTCTTCCGAAAAATAATTTTGGACCCTTATTTTTTCTTTTAGCCACATTGTGCGGCGACGACATGAATAATAAAGAACGAAGAAAAGAGGATCAAAGCACGTGCAACGCGATGTAGGTTAGTACGGCCGCCAGAGGTAACACATGGCAAGCAGGCAGAAATGAGGATGGCCCCGTGAGAACCGGGCAATTGATTGACATACCTGAAGAAGAGCTCGATGTCGGGAACCACAACAGCCACGATACGACGAATGTAATCCTGTTGGATTTCGGTTCAAGCGCACTGAACTATACTTATAAGTCCTTTGACGAGGGGTGATAAGCGATGTATTATTAAGACTCACACTGTACACTGTACACCACCAGCTTACGCGATGCTCGATCAAATTGAGAATGAATTCCACCTGTCTCGTCCACTACAGCCACACACCATGCTGATTGCTCTTTGGAGGCCCCACCAGATGCGACAACGACCGCCTCCTGACCCAGACACGGGCCTGTACAGTTACTTCTTCTTGTGCATCACCCTATTAGCTAGCCATCGAGCTATTTTACAACAATAAGTAGGTAAATAATGCGAATATCTCCGCACCTGCGGCCCAACTCCGACATTTCGCACGGCGGCCGCGCGCTTGGCCTACCAATTTGCAGCAGCCTCTATTGTCTTAAGACGCATCGCCAGACGACCCACTCCGGCTCGCTTTATTCACACTATTCGCAATCATCTATCTATGTAATAACTACCTTCTAGGTACTACAAGTCGCTTTCAATGTTTACTATCATTAGGTATGTATTTTTTATGTAATTTCTGTAAAAACCTTTAGGAATTACATTTTTGTTATTTTAATGTTTTAGGACTATTTATTGATTTATATTAACGGATATAATATGTTTTACTCTCTTAAAATGAATTAGTCAAAAAGAACTAGTTACACTGTAGGTAAATTTTCAACTCTTGAAATATCGATGGTTACACTATGATAGTTCGAATTACTAACATTGAGTACGCCCACCTATATTACCTAATTTTGGGCTGCTGATTTCAAAAATGCCACTCGTTTTGCTCCAGGACGTCTAGGATTCGAAATAATTGAGTAATAAAATGCTCTGCCCAATTATCCCCAAATTTTAAGTTTTTCGTTAATATTTTGATTATTAATTAAATTATTTTACCCTAAATCTATTTTGGATGTTTTGACGTTTTTTTTTCAAAAATATATAGGGACTCCTTACAAAGTCATCGGTAGATAAATGTCAAATAGAATTTTTTTTCATTGTAGCCGTATACTATAGTGCTCAAAAATTCTATCTCCAATCTTATTTATTAATAACTTAATTAATTCGTATCAACATTTTATATCGAATTGAAGTATAAAGGCGACTTTATCTACTTTATCGTTCAAGAACATTAAAGTGCATCTATTAATTATTGACATTTAAAATTTAAACTTTAAATTGTATTTTTACTTGAAAGTGATTTTAAGAACCAAAAATGAAAAAAGAGCAGGAAATAGAAGTGGTAATGGTAATGGAAGTGGCAGAGAAAGAGAAAGGAGACGAACATTTATGTCGTCGTTGTAAATTTGTATTGTTTTTGTTGCGGTACCTTTACGCCCAAGAAAAACCAACGCAATATTTCATTACAAAATTTTATGAGATATACCTACTACTTTAATTTTGCAGGAATATTAAATGGACCTGATATACGACGTTTAATGAAAGATGAAGCATTCAAAACTGCTCTCAAAGTTGACGAGCTTGTCGCATATGGCAGTGTTAAAGCTGTCATTGAAAATGTTCTTGGTTCATATCGGGCCTAAAATTGGCGCCAATTCATTGAAAAAATGCTCTCCGTTTTGTAAAGAATTAGCGTTAATATGTCATTTAAAATATATTTGTATACATTTTCTTTTTTTTCATCCTGATAAATTTGCCGAACTGATGAACATGGAGAACGATTTCACCAAGTAACTGCAAATTTAAAGCATTGGTAGATTTCTATGGGTATAGCGGAAAGAAGTTGGATTCATTGCTAGGAGACATTTGCTGGAATTTGCAGCAAAAGATGTACGACGATGATGAGGATTAAGCACAATAATACTATAATTCAATTCGATATTTGATACGATTTAATAAATTTAAGGTAGAAAAAAGCAAAATTATGCAATGCATTAAATTTTGTGGGCTTAATTTGGAAAGTACCGAAACTTGTTTACTTTGTTGCCTTTAAAATGTCATATTGTTAAGATAAATATGATCTATTTGCCGTATACCAATTACTTCAGTACTTTCAAGATAAATTTAATCCAAAATAATTTAATAAATAACAAAAAAACTTACATTTTAAGGTTTTTGAGCAGAGTATTTTATTACGAAATTATTTTAAATCCTAGACGTCCTAGAAAAAAACAAATGACATTTTTGAAATCAGCGGCCCAAAATTAGTTAAACTAAGCTGGATTACTCAATGTTAGGAAAAAAGTTTCTAAAACTATCATAGTGTTATTTGACAAAACATCGTAAGCGACAATTTGGTTGAATTACTTTTTATTTTATCAAAGTGTCAGTAACGATAAGCTGCGCATGTTAATATAATAGTTATCCCAATTTTCAAATCTAATATTGGTCAGTTTGAATATTTTTATTATTGTAAGCGCCTCTTCTTTTTAATTTGTTACCGATTTATAACGTAAGTGCCTATATGTTCCCGACAAATAATCGTAAGCAACTCCGAGACATGGCGTTTGCGATTTAACATTGTGTCGCTTACGATAATATTGTGCTCCCGCCTTGATCTATCAAGGCGTTATTCCCGCTCTAAACAGTTTATTCCTGAGTATACCTGCATCGTGGTGATTCCTACCAAGTTTTAAAACAATATTTTATTTGATCAAAAGCTTAATTCCTTTTTTTCATTGCATTATTAAGTTATCCTAATTATAATTGCTTTTACGTTGTGGGGTTCGTTAAAAGTGTTTTTTGTAGAAATTGTATGTTGTTATAGCGTCAAATAATTTGACTCAAATTTATAACGGTTAGATCATAGTACCATGGGTTAGATCATGGAGCCTACACAAGGAGTCCGAACATCATGTAAACAAGAATCTAAGATAAGAGGGCGCTGGTGTTCCGTTTATTCTGAAACAATTGTTTAAATTGTACCGAAACAATCAGCGCCGCTGGTTGTGAAAAAAAGAAACATAAATTATAGGTACAATTTAAAGGGCAGGTTTTGTCAATTTCCCCTATTAAGTTCGGGCTCCTTGAGTAGGCTCCATGGGTTAGATACTGGTTTGTGAATAAAAATCGTTCGTTTTTTTTTCAAAGAAAGCTAATGTGGAATTTAATTTTTAAACATTGTTTGGCAAAATATCGTTGGTGATATTTTACAAATTAATTTTTTTGTAATTTTTTTTTATTTAATAATAAAAGTAAAAAATTATAAATGTCGCTAACGATGTTTTGACAAAAGTAATCATCAAATCTATTTCCCACAAAGTAACGTAAATGTAACTTAGGTGACAAGACTAATTTTAAATTTTCCTAAAGATGTTCTTATAAAATATCGTATGCCACAAAATTTAATGAATATTTTAGAATGGATTCGATCTTACTTAAATATTTGAATTCTACATTAATAAAATAATGCCTCACCAGTTTTCAGATAACTTTAAAAAAAAGCTCCCACACAAAAAAAATCTCTCCTGTAAAATTTAGGTTTTGTCGCTTACGATGTTTTGTCAAATAACCATCGATATCACAGCTAAACGCTCGGACACGTAAACATAATTTTTGGTCGTAGATTCCAAATCCGTGCTCGGTTTAGCTGTAACAGGTCTAAAAAAGTTTTTCCTGTCGGAAATCCGATCCGGGGACACACTGTATACTGGTATATTATAATTTGTAAATTAATATATTTTACCTCTTGTGCCATTATTCTTATGCTTTTTATTTCAATTAATTTAATATCCTCAATTATACTCAATAAAAAAAATAACAAAAAATCATTTTGAATTTCCTAAATTATCATATATTATATCACGAGAACTATGAATTGAATCGGTTAAACTAGGCTCAGTAGTTTTTTGTTTGGTTTTTGTTGGAAAATGTTGAATGTAAAATAATTTAATAAAATCACGAGACAGCGTAGCGGTCGAGGGGTTTTATTTTTAATTATTTTGCATGAAACTATTTTCCAAAAAGAAAAATCAAATAAAAAACTTACTGAGCATAGTTTGACAGATTAAATTTATATGTTGAGTGATATACGTCTAGATTATTTCTCGAATTAAATGAAACTATTTGACAATTCATAAAATCTGATGTAGGTAAGTGTCAAAATTTATAAATATTTTTTTAAAGAAAATTCCATGTAATATGTAATAAGTAATAATTGATATTTCGTAAACTAGATAACTTATTTTTTATTGTTTTTAAAAAAATGTTTGTTAAAACTTGTAAATAACACCATAAAATCGTAAACAAAAATCCAATATGGAGGCTAAAATTTAATCGCTGTTAAATAGTTCTAGTGATTTAATCGCTTATTTAAACGAAATTTATTCGAAAATTCAAGGCTTTGGATTGGTTCATATTATAATGAGGGAAATAATCTCTAAAAAAACCTCAGGGACACGTGTTACTTTTGGTCAATTAACTTCAAATTTTGTAAGAATTTGTTCCTTTTTAATTTGGAACTAATGTGTGGGTCCAGACAAATTATTTTTTTTTTAATTTATAGAGGGTGTTTAAATGTATACAGGGTCTTTAAATTTATACAGGGTGTTTCCAATATCTTTGAATTTTGACCTGATACAGCTAAACCAAGCATGGATTTGTAATCTACGACCAAAAAATAAGTTTACGTGTCCGAGCGTTTACCTGTGATATTTTCACCTCCCTACAGTGTTATAAGTCGTATTTGTCATAGCAAAAAAGCACTCACTTTTAGTCAAATTCTACTGAATGAAAGAGTCAAATTAGTAGATTTAAATTTAAAAAAGTTCTGACCCAGTCGGGGTTTGAACTCGGGGGTGTCGCTTGTCAAGCGAATGTCACTTTTTTTAAAATTAATTTTATTTGTACATAGAAATATTGTTCATAATATTTTAAAGTTGAAAATATTGTTTGTGTTGCTGTTTCGAGCTAAAATTTTTGAATCTTTGTTTGTTTGTATAGGCCATTTAACCATGGAATCTATATATAGGTATGCATTTAACTCAAACAATAATTTATTGTTGGCCGCAAACGATTAAAGAAATTAGTTACTTTTAACTCTCAGAAATAGTCAAAGACGGTGACTAATCTTAAATTATTCAAACTTTAACTATTTAGGTAGTAAAAAATAACTATTTAAAAGTGAAAACGTCTATTTTATTAGTAAAAAATGCTGGTACTAATTCAAATAGTACAAT